CAGATTTATGAAAGGGGCGCTCCTCATCTGGAGGGCTGCCAGGCTGCTTATGAGGGAGAACTTGTGTTTTAGGACTAGTTTCCTGAGCAGCCACCAAATACACCCACCCGTGTCAGAGCAGGAAGGAGGTATTGACAGAGCCCCGAGAGGCAAGCAACCTGGCTGGAGGCCGCAAGTCATTGGTGGCAGCATCAGGAAGCCCGAGGATCCTGAGATCTGGTGGGAGATTCCTCCTTCTAGGTCCCCCTGCCTCCCTGATGACCCTGTGTGTGTGTGTGTGTGTGTGTGTGTGTGTGTGTGTACCTCATGTCTGGCTTCTCTCTCCCCATCACACCAGCCCCCTGGGGCAGAAGAGTAGTGGCCCCTTATTGGTGAGTTGGAAGAATAAACTGGGCCCTTTTGGCTCACCGAGAGAGCTGGGCCTCACTGCCCCACCAGGAAAGGCCTGTCTGGGGCCAGGTCTGCCAGCGAAATGGGGGACATCTGTCTAGCTAATTTTGGCATCCAGTTAGTGGGCTGTTTTGCTTTTTGCATGAAGCTACGTTCTCCAACTTTATCAAAGGTGATTTGGCTTTCACAAGCCAATATTGGTCTTCTTTCTCATTTCCGTGAAAACTTAGGTAGGGAAAAAGAAGGCTATTTATTGGGTCCCCACAGGCCTCCAAATGACAATGGGCTCCAGCCACAGGCCATTTCTGAAGGCAGGACACCAGTTCAGGCTGCCATTGAAAGTAGCCTCCACTGGCTTCTCTGGGTGACCACATGGCAGCACAAGGATAAATGGCCACTTTTTTCCTCCAGGGGCCGCTGCAGGGCGGGGCGGATGCGGGAGTCGGATGCGGAAGATGGACGTCTCCACCGCGGGAGGCCGAGTGGAGGGGGCAGCAGGCCCCTGAATCAGGAGGGAGTTCACTCTTGCAGGCTGTCACTCCAGCACTTATGCGAGAGCCCGGCTCGCTCAGAAATAAAATGCCACTCTGAATTTAAATGATCTGTCCTTCTGGGAAATTCTTCCCAGTGACAGGACTGTTCAAACATGAAAAGTAAAAGGGAAACAATGTGATAGTTCAGAAATCACTGTTTTCGGGGGGCTGTAGAACTCACATAGCCTGCGGACAATTCCTGGGAGGAAGGGCCCTATTTTGATCTGCCAAGCGAGAGGAACATTGTTTGACAAAGTTTCTGCTTGACGTGAAGGGAAATCTTATGGGAGTGATTTTTGCAAGGACCAGGCCTCAGTGAGGTGGTGCGTGAAGCAGAAGTAATCGTTTTATGTGTGAAACTCTGTGGGCAGAGATGGGAAAATACAGGATAATTGGAACTGGCCAAACTGGGGAGCGGGGTGGAGGGTGGCGGGAGATTGTGGTTTCTTTCTTGTGTCTGGTCCCTGGCACGGCCGCTTTGGCATCCATCACGTTCTGCACCAATGATGTACATCACTAGGCGGCGCTAGAGACCTTCCAGAAAATGCCTCGGAAGCCACGATAACCTGGAGGGATGTCAGAGGACCAGCCCCTGTCCCCAAGTCCTCCCTGCCCTGGACCCTCTGTGGGATTTCAGGAGGGGGACGTTGGGATGGCTTTTCATTCCTGCAGGAGCCAGAGCCCTGGAGATGGAGGGCAAGGCAAGAGGGCAGCCGATGATGACGGCCACCTCAAGGAAAGATGCTCTTCCCTTTGCTACCTCTCACGTGCCGCTTCTCCCAGTGTTAGGCCAGCCCTGACCATTTCTCCCCTTCCGTGTCATCTCTGCAACTTCTCTATGTTCTTCAGCGGACTTGTCAAATCTTGAACCTGGAGCATGACCCCCAGGCCTGCTCTTTTTTTTTTTTTTTTTTTTTGCTACAGGGTCGAACCTGGAAATAATGTCACAGCTGAAGTGACATTTTTAAATGTGCTTATTTATAACCTTTTGTAAGTAACTTGGGGATGAGGGACCATAGTTTCCTGTGATGGCCTGGGTAATTAAAGTCCATCTGGTCTACCAAGGGAGCCGTATGGTTTTCCTTCTAAGCCTTAGAAAGATACGTGGTTAGACACAACCTGAACCGTTGCAGCCCAAACGCCCGGGTAAATCCAGTGAGAGAGAGAGAAGAGAGAAAGAGAGAGAGAGAGAAGGGCGTCATGGGTGTAGAGACAGGAGTCTTGGGTATGATTCGTAGAATGTTCCATAGAATGTTCCGTAGAACAGGTAGACTAGAATCTCCCTAGTATTAATTTTGGAGGAAAAATTGGGATAGGACAGTTTCCTCACATACACGGTTGTTAATCTCTCATGTCATAAGAACCCCAGGTCGAGGAGAGCCTTTGGTTTGCTGCCTCGCAGACTGCTGCTGAGCCGTTCCATTTACAGCCTTTCAGTGACATCAAAACTTGTCATTTTAACTCCTTGGGTATTTATGCTCCCCTCACACCCCACTGATAAAAGTTTTAACTTGTGAAAATTCTAAAGAATTCCTGTTGACCCAGTGGACCACTTGTAAATCCTGTCAGTTCTGTGCAGTTATGCTGTACAGAAATAGCCATTGTGGATGGAATTCAGGAAATCTCTGCACACACGTAAAAGAAGGCGGTTTCTCTTCCTAAATGCGGGCTGAATGCCTGTGGACAGGGCCCAGCTCACAATTCACCCTATAAGCAGGAAGACTGTAACCAAGCCACTGTCTTGCCTTAAAAGTCACGATTTATGCTTCTCATTTTAATTTTCCTCAGCTTAGGTCCCAGAAGGATTTATTAAATTTGCTTTGTGGAACCTATTAACTCTAAACTGAATAATGATGTTGCTCTAGGTTTAGAATCAGTTTACAGTAAATTCTCTACACACAGGACTCTAGGAAGCCTATATTCCTCCATGACAGAATTTTAAGTCAGTTCATAAATGAAAAGGTTTACTCAATTTACCTAAAAGTTATTAGTAATTAACCGACATCAAGAGACCATTGCTCGCAGAGACGGTGAATCGCAAATGAGAACTCTGGCAAGCGAGGATATTCATTATCCGGCTTAAATTACATGGGGGAAAACTCAAATGGCTTCTCAGTATTTCTTTGATACTTTGGCTTAACTCTGCGGTTAAAATGGGTAATAATGACTTGTAACTAATTTTTATTTTTTCCTTGGCTGGGTAGGATGACCAAAGCCAGATGAATAGCTTACAGAAAATCTAGATAAATAGCCCAACACATGCAGATATGGAAATCGATGGTCTTGGAGAAGTCTTTTTAGAAATTATGAAGTCAGCGACATTACACGGCAGGCCTTCTGATCTAAGATGAGGGGGGCTGAGGAGCTAGAAATATTGACAGGCAGAGGGGAACTCAAGACACATGCCCTGTTAGTGGGTCTGGGGCATCTTCATATAATGAAAAATGCACGTCATTGACTCCTCTAAATTATGGCAGCTTTGGAAAGACTAAGTGGTCCAAGGGAATGGGGAGGGGTAAGGAGTGCCCCCAGAACCTTCCTGGGTAGTGTTATCAGGAGACTATATGAAGGAGTAGAGGGGACTCGCCGACAGGAAATCTCTGCTCACTGGCTTGAGCCACTTCTGTGAACTTGGATAACTTACTCAAACTTCTCTAAGTCCCCTCTGGCTCCAACTTCTAGCATTTGATATGTGTCATGGATCAGGTGCTAGAATCAGCTCACTCCTCTGAAGGAAAGTGGGGTAGATCTGGGTAACTGTGGAAGTGTAAGACTTGTTATGTTGCCCTTCAAGGCTTCCCAGGGGTGGGCTCACTCCACCCTGCAGGAGCTCAAACAGCCCCGGAGGCGGGCGGGGGCAGTTCTTGGTCCGGGGGACCGCCCCCTCCTCTGTACTCCGCGAGCGCAGCCCCGAGGTTTTACCACACACGGAGGATGATGCGGATCAGCGCCTTCCAGGCTTCCCCTTTTGGATGCTTCCATTTCAGAAGCCCCTCAGACAGCTGATTTGCTGTTCAGCAGGTGAGAGAAACAGCTTCATTTGGGAGCAGGCCAGGATAAAAGGAGAAAGAAAAGATGATGAAGAGAGCGGGCAGTGGGCGTGGTTAGGAGCACATCAAAGGCAGAATTTTCTCCTCATCTTTTTACGTGCTCGGGGACTGCTGTCAGAGTCGGAGGTGTCTTGAGTCAGGCGTCGCACTCACGTTCAGGTCTAGCATTTAAAACCACACGCAACTATCAGGTCACCTGTGAGGAATGTCAACAGAGGAACGCAAATCTCACAGGATGCGGCAGCAGCATATCCCACGCCCAGAAAACTCTTTTCTAAGATGATACAATTCTTATTGACGATGTTTTTCTTTGCATCTGTCCCGACATGACTTTTAAGTAAAGCCGTGCAGTAAATAAAAGTAGGAATTCACATGTGTTTTTTCTGGATTTGCTCAGTTTGAGGATGTGAAAGTCTAATTCGAGGAGGAAAAAATAGACCAGTTTGCCAAGTGGAGTGACCTGATTTTTGTTGGATCAACATGTTATCAAGTTGAGGTTGTCACCACAAAGCAAGTGTGAAGCCTGCCTTTTCAGGCTAAAATCAAAGCGCTGGCCTGCCAGCCTGGAATTGATGACCTAAGCATCGTCTAATCAGCCAGTCTGCATGCAGATTTAGACATCTCCAGGAGGCTGGGAACCTATCAGGCCCAACCTGATTATTCTAATCAAGTGTTTTAATTAAGCAGCTATTGCCAGGATCACAGGAACAAGGTCTGCTCTCCAGTCGTAATGGGCAGTATTTTTTTAAATTATTCTTCATAGTGATAATGTATGGCTTTATGGGGGCGTATTTAACGTTTTTCTAAAGTAGGACATGGGAGAGTCCCCTGTGAGGTGCACACTGCTGAGCTGGCAGTCTGGCTAGTGGGCACAAAATAAATAAAATAAAATAAAATAAAAGATATTTCCAACTGGGTTGCAGATGAATTATCTATTTGCATCCTTCACCCTAAAACACAAAAGCAATAAATCTGGTAGCCCCAGATTTAAAAAAATATATAAACACAGACACATTGGGTCGGCTTTTATTGGAATGCCTAGATGCAATCTATAGTCATCAAGTTATGGAAAATTCAGGTCACATATAAAGTTAAGAAGGCAAATGAAAAGAACAATACAAATCAGACAAAATTTACATCTCAAAATATCATGAAAGCATTTTGACTGGCTTTGCCTAAAATACTTTGAATATCAATTTCTTTTTTGTAAGCTAATTCTTTTCATTATACAGTCCCCCACCCCACCCCAACTCTTAGAAAAAGGTCTTTTGTGTACATGTTCCCCAAGGTCACTATTTCTTGTAAAAGCATGTCCAGATCACAAGTCTTTTTAGAAAGAAATAGGCTCCTTATACTTACTAACAAGACACTAATTGGGTTGATTTGACTTCATCTAAGATAAGCACCAGGAGATATTCCAAAACTTCGTTATCGGTGCCAGTGTAAAGGACCAGTCCGTGTCGAAAAGAGGATAAGGTTATGATTTCATTTCTGTGATGCGGTACAAGCTTTTCATGGTCAATACATCAGAAACATTTCTGAGAATTTAGACTCAGAGCCTATTTCAACCAAAAGTACTTACAAGCATGCTCAAGACAGAAGCTCCGTGGAACAGAACTGCAGACACCTAACAGTTAAAAAATAAAATGTAAAACAGAGCCATGTTGATGTGGTTTGAAATCTCATAGTTTTCTAAATTTGGGCTTCGTAATACTTGCCAAAGGATTCCAGGATAAAAAATATTAATGCTAATCTGTGCTTTCATTCTAATAAAATATCAGCATTCATTAGGTATGTTCTACCAAATACACAAAGACAGTGATAGCACTGAGACTGTAAATTCAGTAGCTATTTTGAAACTTTCCCAGCCAATCTGTTTAATAAACACGCCTACTGTGCAATTTAGAGTATGTGATACATACAAAGCAGTAAGAAAATTATTTTCAATACATCACTTGAACCTTTATATTTACGACATGTTCACTTGCTATATTTTATCACCATTATACAGAGAGGAAAACAGTGTGTACTATAGCTCGATGAACTGAGAAATATTTTCTAAAAATATTTTTGTGGCTGAATTTAGTGCTCACGAAAGAGATCTGCAAGAGCGGTTGAGCCGGCACAGAGGCGCAGATGGCGGCTATGCCTGGTCCCGCTCGCACGCGTGCAGGAGGGCACGGCTGTCAGTTCACTTCCAGCTGGATCTGCCACCCCCGGCTTCCCCGAGACAGAGCAGAGGCTGCCAGTCAAACCAGCTCCCAAGATGGTTGGGTCATGTGGGCTTACATTACAGGAGCTTTTGTCTCTCTTTTTGTCCCTCTTGGTGACCTGAGGGTCCAAACCCAAGACTGGCAGAGTGACCTTGACCTTCTCCATCTGGCTCTCTCACCACTGCTTGGTTTCTGCTATCTTCCCTAGATTTTAAGACACATGTTTGTGGTCATGACTACATCAGATCCTTTCCTTCTGGCAAATGTTTCCCGGCATCTGATGTGGTCTCTCACCTTCATCATGAAACAGAGCCTCAAGGACGGGTAACAGTAAAAACCCTGTGGTTAATTATACCAACTTCCCATCGACTTTTAGGGCTGAGAAGGCCAGAGAACCCCTGCTGCCGCTTTTTTGTTCATATCTTCCATTACATTCCACCAGCCTTAGTTTTTCACTGTGCCTCTTAGTCGATAATGGTTGAGGGCACTGGCTTGATGAGAAAGAGAAGAGAAAGGAGCAGTTCTGTGACAAGCCAACACTTCGGATTGCACTGTCCTATCTATCTATCTAGTGATAGAAAGCTGCACATTTCTTCAACCTAATACAAAAATATTAACACTTCTGGACATTATAGGCATAAGTCGTTATATCTCTACAATATAATAATTTATACTGTACAGCTATAACAGATAACAAAAGGTGCAATCCTTTTAAAAAAATCACACAGTTCACATGTTTTTATCATTTTATTTTTAAGTATAAACTTTTTAAACACTTTACATAAATTAACTCCTCTGAGACTAATATTTGATGTACAGTAAATTGTAATTCATATAAAAATCCATAAACAACTTGTCTCACATAATTTACAAAAAAATCAGGGTTTCCTTTGCTTATCGGTGACAAGGATTCTATTCGCCAGTTTTTTCCCCAAGGCAAACCACGTTAGCATTGTAAAATCCGTTATGAAATCCCGGCGGTGGCAGAAGTCACTCGCGCCAACGTCCGTTTGGAAAGCAGCACAGCGACAGCGCTTGGATTGTCTATAAACAGTAATTTTGCCCCACATTTTAGAATTAACAGAGCTATAGATCACATCCTATGCAGAGACTACCTCTTGTAAGCAAAGGTCGACAATTCGGGAATATTTGGAAACACTGTACGCCTTTTTACTCTAAATACAGTGCCTCAAACGAACACACGGCCTAGAGCAAAATGCGTAGGCCTTTTTTTTCCCTTTCTTTCTTTCTTTTTCCTTTTAATACTTCCAGTCCCACTGAGTGCAGCGATATGCATATGTAAACATATTCTTTAAAGCCGATCACCTTTAAGGTCATTCATAAAAAAGTTTTCTGTTTTTGTGGATTTTTTCTCTTAAGAGCAGTGTCATTCTCCAGGAAGGCTCCTCCGTGCCGGAGAGTCCCATTCGGATTGTGCTACAGAACAATCTGAGCAGAGGTGGGTTCAGGCTCCCGAGAAGCGCAGCGCCCCGGCTGGGTCTGGCTCCCCGGCCGGCCGCGGGGCCCGGGGGGTTACCTCTTGCCGATCTCGCTTTGTCGCAGGAACTGGATGTTGTTGGCGCTGTCGGCCAGCTCGGGGTACTGCTCCACCGAGAGTACGTAGTACCCGTCGTAGCCCTGCACCTTGCCGGCGCTCAGCAGCTGCCGCTTCTCGCCCTCCGTCCAGAGGCGCGCGCCCTCCTCGCCGTCGCGCACGCGCTGCTGCTCGCGCGCCCAGGCCCGGGCGAGCGCGCGCTGCCGCGCCTGCTCCAGGATGCGCGCCTTCTCCTCGTCCAAGGTCATGCCGTAGCGCACGTGCAGCGCCAGCGCGCCGAACTGCATCTCCACGTCGGCGAACCTGCGCGTCCTGCCGTTGACCACCGTCGTGGACTGCGACACGGTCACGTTGATGCCGTTCTCCAGGGCCTTGCGGCCGCTGGTCAGCCGCAGCGTGCCCAGGTCGCTCTCGGGCGTGCTGGTCTTGATGAAGTAGTGCGTGTCCTTGCCCTCGATGGTGAAGTGCAGGTTCTCCAGGTAGAAGGCGTTGTTGAGCACGGCCGCCACCTTGATGCAGTCCTCGTTGGCGATGTTGAGCACGTTGGTCTGCACGCGGCCCTGGCTGACGGCCAGCATGACGCCCTTGCCGATCAGCGACTTGACCGTGGCGAACCACAGCCACGACTGCGCGCCGCCGCCCTTGCGCCGGCTCACTTGCACCTCGGCCATCTTCCCCAGGGACAGGAAGGCCTTGGCCTGCCTCGCCACTTGCTGCTGAACGCCAAAAATGGGCTGAAAAGCGAACACAGAACAGGGGGCCGGTTTAGAGAACAGCGGGAGCTCTGGGTTGCCGGGGAGCTGGGCTTCCTGGCGGCGCTCCCACTCCTGACCAAAAAAAGAGGGGGGCTTGGGTGGAGATCGCCAAGGCATTTATTAAAACCTCAAGCGGCTCTTTAGAGATGAAAAGGCTTTAAAAGACCCTGGGTGGGGAATGCACTCAAGATCCCCTCCCCTCAAGTTGATCCAAATGTGTTTTGAAACGTCAAAAGAGGTAACTCTATCATGTATTAGTTCAGAGCTTTTTAGTTTCTAACGCCCGCAAAATATTCATGTTTTTAGCTTCTCTCTTTCCATTTCTAGATGCCCTTTTCCCACCCCCGCCCCATTTGGGGAACCCAGTTTATCAGGTCCTCCATCCCAGCAGCTTTCTCCATGGGAGGCTGAGGAGAAAGCACCAAACGCGGAGAAGGATTTGAAAGCTGGGGGTGCTCTGGGGCGGAGCAGCGCGTCCCACTTTATATGCTTTGAAATGCCTGTGCTTTAATTCAGGTAAACTCTGTCCTCTCTCCTGGTGAACAGTTTTCAACTGAGTATTGCCAGTGTAACTGCAGGACTGAAATGTACAGAGATGAGCGCACAGCGGGACAGCTGGAGATGAGTATTTATTACTTTAGGGAAACGTTTATTTTTCCTAGACTTAGGGACAGTGGACCATCTACGCTGGCAAATGTTTTAAATTGGGGGCATTTTAACTCAGCTATTTCTTATACTCCCAGATGTTCGTCTGGCCAGTGTTTCCCAAATGGAAACATCTGTTTCCTTTGCTGCAGTGAAAGAAACATTTGTTTTTCTGCACTAGAGGCAGCCTCCGATGTCTTTGCTGGCCATTCCCTAAGCTGTCCTCATGGTGCCTGTCTCTTGACGGAGAACCTGAGCCATGTTTAAAAGGCTGCCTAGGAAAAAAGTTGGCAAGTCCACTTGTACGGTTAGACTTAAGTGTTTTCAGACATGTTGGCAAGTCATACACAATTAGGACATGCTTGTTCAAATGCATTAGGAAACTTCAGTCTGTCTTCATGGCACTTGATCAGTGTAGATATAGTTGCAATTAGAAATGTTAAAATGGCTCCCAGACCCTGGAAACTTGATGGGTTTTGCTTTTTAAATGTAAAGGTGACATCTGAAAAAAGGAATTGCTTTTATGTTAAGAATGAAACATGTACCAGAAAACAGAGGTACTGGCACTGTGTACACTCTGTGTATGTTTTAGCCATGATTGCCTTTTCTCTTTGTATTCAGGGAAATTATAGGAAACTGCTCAAGGGGGGGAAATTAATCTTTCTAGGAAACTCTGCATTCTCTTCTTATCATTATGGGGTAACCCAAGTTCTTGATCTTTAATTATTCTTGCTTCAAGCTAGAAATTCTGGTGTTTTGTTGTGCATTCCTTTCTGATCTCTGAATGGTGGGAATTAAAAATGCCATTTTCTGAAATGGTGGCTTTGACTTTGCAATTTTCCATTCTTTTTTTCTTTTATTTCTCAGAACAGTTACAGGTCTCCTGATCTGTAATTTTCAGGAAAATTCCATAAACACCTAATTGTAGGTGGAGCCTTACCAGAGGACTTTTTGTTTTATTTTTATTCTTTTCCCATGAAACACTGTTAATATTTAAAAAATTTTTTTTTGTGTGTGTGTGTGAGGAAGATCAGCCCTGAGCTAACATCTATGCCAATCCTCCTCTTTTTGCTGAGGAAGATCAGCCCTGAGCTAACATCTATGCCAATCCTCCTCTTTTTGCTGAGGAAGACTGGCCCTGGGCTAACATCTGTGCCTATCTTCCTCCACTTTATATGGGACGCCGCCACAGCATGGCTTGACAAGTGGTGCATTGGTGTGCGGCTGGGATCCGAACCCCGGCCGCAAGCAGCGGAGCGTGCACACTTAACCACTACACCACAGGGCCAGCCCCGTTAATATTTTTTAAAAGTTAAACTTTGCGGCATTGTTTGTGGGCTGCTAATTTGTACTATGAATCCCCTGCCCTCCTGTTTATGGTGTCTTTGCTTTCAGGTCCCAAGGGCTATCAATGTGCTTCACAGGGTTCTCTGTAGAAACTGTGCACTCAAAAATCAGCTTCTGCATTTTATTACCTTTTGATAATGTCTTTGTTTTTATTAGCATCACTAAAAACAGATTTAAGTCTGTCTAACAGGCCCCTGGTTCGCTGAACAGAAATGCAAAGGGAAGTGTTGTTTTTCTTCCCTAAAAGAGTCAAAAAAATTAAAACTGTCTTTGGTACAGTTTTCACGAAGGGAGCTGGATTAAATATGGGTAAATAAGACACAAGTAAGCCATTTATCACCTTTTCATAGTTTTGCTTTTTGTTTCTTACCGGTATATCATCCCACTGCTGACTCTTCACAAGTTCGTAGGAAGGCTCTGTTAAATCAAATTTGGGAACAGGGAATCCAGGAATAGCATTGTGCAGATGGAAGCCAAATGTCACCAGCCAGCTGTTAACATCTAGGAGAAGAATGTTCAAAATGAAAGGTGTTAGAGTTACTTTGTGCTTTCATAAATTTAAATTCTTACCTTTAAGAAAACCCCAAATTCACAAATAAGAACCTGAAAAAGAGCACATGTTTGCCTTCATCCTACAATTCAAAACCTACTCTCTATTTTGAGACATGAAGACAATAACCTCAATCGCGGAACTATGGCAAAGGCTACAGAAAATGCAGAGTAATAGACAGACAGACCAATAAACTGTCATCCTGTGCTAGTAATGGGGATGAGACAGGGTAATAATGCACAGCAGCATGAAAGAGACATAGTGGTTAAAAACAAGTTAAATTTGTTTCGTAGTTAGTCAAGACTGGTCTTAAATAGAAGTTGTGTGTTATTAGCTTTCAAAAGCGATTGCCCAAGGATATGCGGAGTTCCACAACCAATTTTCTATTAATAAAAACCCTAGTTTGAGAGTATTAAAATCAACAGTTGATTCTTAATCAAAGATAAATGCTGAAGGCTGGCAAAACTGGCCAAGGGCACAGAACTTGTGATAACCATCAGCTATGACTTCAAAGGCTCTCTGTGCACAGGTGGAGACAAACTTTTTGGGGAGAGAACCTGGAAACCTTTAAAAAGGTATTTTAAAATATTGCCATGTGACTCCAAAAGCCATTAAGCTCAGAATAAGGCTTTTATTCTATTCTGGAGGTTATAATGTTACAGAACTACTCAGCAGGCTTGCAGCTTTATGAGTACGGTTGGGTGTAGATGATTTTACATATTAAGCACATTGCTGGAAAATTTGAAATTGCATTTCACCTAATATATTTTATGCTGTTCCATCTCTCTTTTGATGTTTTTCAGAAAATGCTGCTACGGCATTCACCGCAGTCCATGTTGCTAGGAGAGGATGAATTCAGGAGCTGTGGGCTTTCCAGCCTTTCAGTCCGCCCCTGTCAAGTCCTCTTAAATAACCAGTGGTATACTGCTTGTCAGAATGATGGAGAGCTACTTGTTTCCTATTTCCTTCTCTAGGGCACAAACTCTCACCTCATCACCAGGCTGGCAGGTCCTTTGTCCAGGCATCATATGGCTATAAAACCAGTGGTATGCTCCCTAAGAAATTGAGGGGGGGTGGTGGTGGGGAGAGAAAAACCCCAAGTTCATCATGTCAGATAGAAAGTGATACATTGTGTGTGTGTGTGTGTGTGTGTGTGTGAGAGAGAGAGAGAGACAGTGTATATAAAATTACAGAGGGTCTTATGTTTTGGAGAAAATTATTTCTCCTGAATGGTAGAGTGTTGGGAGCAAAGGTTCTATTACTTTGAACAATGTCTGTGTAACAGTGAAAATCAGAGGGTCTTAAGTATTTACAAACATTGCCTAAATAATGGGGCTTGAATGCAGATGTGTGCTGAAAAACCCTGAAGGAGAATACTATCAGGGTGATGCTGAATCAGGATGCTGAAAGAAGGGACTTTCAGCTGGTTCACATGGAAGAGAGAGATGAAAAGCTTCAGGCAGTCTGGAAAAGCAGGAGGCAGATGTGAAATGAACAGGGCATTCTGAGAGCTGTACCGAGAACTGAGAAAATAGACATCTGAGAAGGACTCAAATATTGAGCACGAAAAGAGACAGCCTGAAGGAGCATCTAACACAAGCCAAAACAAAACAAACCCAAACCAAACCAAAATAAAATAAAACAGGAAAGAATCTTCCTCCAGGAAACATAAATGTGGCAGAGTGGTTAATTATGGTAGTGTAATTCAGGAATGGAAGGGGGAAGCATAGGGATTCAGAATCCTTGGAGTAGGGGATGAGGGAAGAAGTCAGCTCACTAAAGGGAACTAGAGTAACACTTGCAAGAACCTTGTCTGTTTCACATGCTGGTTCTGTGGTGGCAGAAGTAGGATGCCGTGTTTTAGACTGGATCATGCACTAAACTTGGAAAGATCTTAAATACGCTGAAAATTACCCCATATTGGCAGAAATAATTAGTATGTCTCTTAGTAGTGCCACCATGCAAGAACTGCACTAAATGGCCATGAGGACAGTTGTATAAGAGGACAGAGGTGAGAACAAAAACACGCTCCATTGGCTAAGCGACTGATGGCAGAAATTGTTCCATTATTGTCCTGAGATGATAGTTGTGAACAGGGAGTGGAACACCTCCCAGGGATGAGATGGGCAGTCACCCTGTGTTGTGTTTCACATCAATTCCCCCATCAGAACTTTACACATGGATAAAAGAAAAACCAACATTACACACTTGTGAAGTAGTTACTATTGAAAGCAGAATTGCATATACTATTGTATTTTATACCATAAGGTAGGCATTGTTATCCCCATTTCATAGTTAAGGAAACAGACTCATAAAAAATTATGTGACTTGTCTAGAAAGCCAAACAACTAGTAGGAAGGGAGTTGGGATTAGAACTCCAATTTGGGGACTGCAAGCTCATCATGTTTTCTGTCACCCCCATGTCATGTCCTATCCTTAAGTGACTGGATTCCATGTCATTTCAGAAAATTGTGGTCTTGGGCATTAGCAGGCAGAATAAGAAGTAACAAACTATGAGTAAAGTGTCAAGTTGAAGAAAGCAACTCTAGTTATTTTGTAATTCATTACTTGGAAAGGAAAAAAAAATTATGCTTACCTGTGATGTAGTCTTTCACATCATGGATTTTGCTTGCAGGGTTGTTATTCCTAAACATATACAGGTTAAAAGGAGCTGGGTCTTTCCCAATTCTTTTCCAGATTTCTATGTCAGGCGTTGTCCATCGTCCTGCCAAAATGTCATAATCTCTTTCTCCAAAGTGGATTAATTTTGTGAGTGGGTCATACAAGCCACCATGAAATCCAATTACTAGTTGAAAGTCAATATTGGAGTCAAAATAGATTTCACCATATGCAGTATACTGAATCTGCTTTAGCATAAGCCCGTTGCTACTGAAAACAGCCAGTGGTGTCCCTGTGTTATCCGATGCAATGTAGAATTCATCACCACTGCTGATTTCCATGGCAAAGAGATGTCCTTGGAGATCATAATAGAGGGAGGTGATTTCTGAACTCGAATGGTTGTAAACATGAGTAATCCTAGTGGGATAAGTTAGGTCAGCATAAAAAAACTGAAGGTGCTGTCCCAGACTGGTTTTGCTAGAAACACGCCTTCCCAGGCCATCATAACGGTAGATCACTGTCCAGCCACTGCCTTTGCTGTAAACCCGTGTTAGAAGCCCCTTGGAGCTATACTCAAAGATCTCTGTGCCTCTTTGACGCAGGAAACCATCTTCATCCAACCGATACTGAACATCACCCAGACGCGTTATTCTGTCTCGCAGGTCATAGCGAAGAGGTGTCAGTCGTGCACTGTTACTTGGGTTCAGTAAATGGAGGTTTCCATTCAGATCATAGTTGTAACGCCACATGATCTTTTCATTTAGATAAACTGTTTGGAGCTGTCCATCAACATCGTATTCATAAGCATATTTGGTAGTGTTGGCAAAGGGCCCTATTTTAATCTCTCTCTTGGTTACCCGACCCATGTTATCATATTGAATTGTAATCCAGTACATGAGTGACCTGAATATCTCATATTGAATTTCCTTGATGCGGCCGTGAGCATCAAAGTGCTTCGTATACGTCATTACGGCTGTGGAAATGATCTGGTTAATATCATAATATATAACTCCAAATTTTCCAAACTGCTCGACTTTGCCAGAAATGTCATCAAACTGATAGAGATCAATGGGCAGTGGAGTTTCATTGATGACGCCCTGCATGCTGGTCACTCGAAAGCTGTTGTCATAGCTATAGTCAAATCTCGCATTTACCATCCCATCTTCACTAAAGCGGAAAATCTGTCTGTCAATCAGGGGGCCAATCTGCCTGTATCTAATGGTGCAAATAAAACCATCACTCTGGAGGTTTACTGTTTTTAGAACTCCCGCTGTTTCATCATAAGTAAAACTGACTCTTGTGCTATCATATAAAATTTCTGAGAGCCTGGTCTGCCTTCTATACTTGAATAAGACCCTCCGACTTGTACCCAAGAAAGCTGTTTGCAGAAGCAGCCCTTCCTCATTGTAGTCCGTGATGACAGAGGCGTTGCTTTCTGGGGGGTTGTATATATTGCGGTAGTAGCCAATGGATCGGATGGTCTGCATTGTGTGGCGAGCCACACTGGGCATGGTGATGGCAGACAGCCGGTCCCACATATCGTATTCAAAGATATATTGCCGCTGGCTATGAAGCAGAAGAACCATGGACTGCAAAGAGAAAACATATTGTTCTCCAATATTTGTGAATGGGGGAAGCAAAAGCAGATTTAGTGACCACAAATACCCAGAAACATTTCGCTTGGGAAAATGATGTTCATTTTAATTGAGTTTTCCTTGACCTTACATGTTGCTAACAATTCCCTGCCTAATTTGCTTGGATGCCTAATTGTGAGGGCTCTGCAGTTAGTGGCTCCAGATTCATAATGTGCTACTTGTCAGGACTGTACCATTCTCTTTCCAGGCATTCACAGCCAAGCAGCAGATTGTCAACGGATTTGGATAAGTCATAATACCAGCATGGGCAAAGCTGCTTTAAAGACAATATTTCAAGGAGGTAATAGCATATGGGAAATGCAATCCTCTCCGTAATTAGCAATTGTTTAGTAAGGTGGCTTTTCCCCCTCATTTGATTGAAGAGCCACTCCAATCGTGTTTTAATTTCCAATGCATTTGGGGGAGGAGCAAAGCATTCAAAATATTACTTTATGAAGAAGAGACATAAAATTAGCCCAAAATGCATAATGTGCACATAAAGCATCAACGTCTGCAAATACTGCTGAATTAATCACTTGGTGAATGAGGGCCATAAATACCCTTATTAGGAAAATGGATCCAGGAATTTTTTTTTTTTTTTTGCAAATTCTTACGTGGCATCCGAAATGACAATAAAATCTACATTTTGATATTTCCTTTTGTTAGTACTAAATCTGATTTGTACCTCAGGTGCTGTAAGAACGGTTTCTGGGCTACATACCGCATTGGTGCTAAATTATGAAGTGAATAAATATGTAAGTAAAAATAAACTCTCCTTATTTTGCAAGTAATTGCAGAAAGACAAAAGACATTAATTTATCAGGCCGACCCAAGAGAAGGTCAACCCTGAGGTGGCTTAAGTAAAGCTCAATAGTAATACAGAGCATGGGAAATTTTTGAGGAAGCTTCCTCTAAACCCTGTTAGACCAAATGGTGCTGGTATCATTTTGTGATGGTGGCTCTTATCAATGAATGACATGCTCTTTGGCTCCCTGTAAACAATTTCAGTCACATTGTGATCACTACTATCAATTTTTTGGGGCCTGGGTATTTATATTTCTGTCCTCTTCTCTGTAATGTACTTAATTTAAATTGGGAAGAATGTTCCAGAATGAAGTAGTGATCCACTCCCAGTTTCTTCAGGGAGAACTTGTCTTGAGGCTTGTTGGGGTGGAGGGTGAAATATTTTCCAGGTGTCAGGATTTGTTCCCAGGAAGGTGTGTAGGGAGCTTACTCTGGTCTCTCAACAAATAACCAATTGAATGACTAACTGTAGAGTGGGGTGGTTAGTATAGAGGGAACTGTCATCTAACAGGCATAGTCTGTAGTCTCAGGGGTGAGTCTCCTCTAAGGAGAGCAGATAAGTGGGTTTGCAAGAGGAGAGACTGACAAGTGGGGTCCTAGTGGGAAACATTCCACAGTTGGGAGGCTGCCTTAAGATAGGTGGCATCCTATGTTGAACGTTGAACCTGAAACTGGTTCTCGGGAAGAGTGGTCTGGGTATAGGCCATCTAGAACTAGACGGGATGACCCAAGTGTGGGAGATTAGGTTTAGAATGAGGAGCTGCATGGAGCATCTCTGGTGAACAACATTGTGTGATATGAGCACAAGGATGAGGACGTGAGTTTCTGGATGACATAAGAGTTTCTGGATGACATAAGTTATTCTGTGTAATGTGTGTAAGGATGGAGGCAGTAACTGTTAAGAGTTGAGTTTGTAACTTAGGCTGCTGTGTGACTGGTGGTGGATGCGCTGAGGTTTGAGAGGTATCAGAACTCAAAACTGAATCATTTTCTAGTGCTAACATTTGTCTCAGAGGCAAATGAAACATTTCATGAATATGCTCTTTGGTGGATTATATTTCTTTTGTTTTTGCTGAGGAAGATTCACCCTGAGCTAACATCTATGCCAATCTTCCTCTATTTTGCAATTGGGTCGCAGCCACAGCATGGCTGACGAGTGGTGTAGGTCCACGCCCGGCATCTGAACGTGCGAACCTGGGCCGCTGAAGTGGAGCATGCTGAACTTAACCGCTGTGCCATGGGGCCGGCCCGTGGATTATATTCCTTAAGAAAGGAATTACAGGAGACAGTCCTTTCCCTTTTTTTTTAGTACTTTCAAACCTCCTGACCCCAGTTACTACCCCAAACCTCACATCCTATGACTTAGGATTTTATATGTGTGTAACTGTAAGTCTTTTGTTGGTACTGTGCACAGTTCTTCAGAATGGGGAAAGCCTAAGCCAGGGTGCTTACCTTTAATATGCAGAAGAAAGGACAGATGCCACAGAGTACCTGAAATGTGGCTTTCTAAAAAATAGCCTCTTTTGGTTAATAATGCATAAATAGGATCTACATGCTTTTTACGGTTATGTGGAAGCTCGGCCAGCGACAACACAAAACTGACAGCTTTAACCGTGCAAATGTAAGGCTCTTTCTTAAAGGAAAGAGCTAGCACGGAGATTATTTACAAATGACTTAGATGCTCAAGGTCTAATTTGTGAATGTTGTTGAGTATAAGCCTCGCAGGTGGACAGTGTTATGGCCTGTTTGTTTGCAGCATAAATCACTTAAAAGGGTCTCAGATAGCAGAACTTAACTAAGGAGAAACTACTTTGCTAATGCAGAAATTCATCATTGCCGTACCAGTGTGACTGACATATCGATACTTAGAATAATAAACGGAACTCAGTCACGTGCCCTGGTATTTTCCCTTGTAGCGCTCTGGGTAATTGCTGAAAAATACCAATTGTTGCTTCCCTATTTTTACGCTTAGTGTGCAGGCATACCTTTTCCAAGTATGTATAACTCCAGGTTTTGCCATCAGCAAAGACCCGAGAGACGATCCTGCCCTGTCCGTCATAATCTACTTTCTCACTAGTAGTTCCTCGCTGGATGCTGGCAATTTGACCTGTGGATGAGTAGGTGACATTGACGGCCATCAGCTTGCTACTCGGCAGCCAGAGCGTTGGGTGCCCTGACATGTCGTAGGCGATCCTCAGTAGAAATTTACGGTGGTCGTCATAGATCTTTTCTGTCTTTGTGGTTCGATCAAAGTCAACAGAAAGGAGGTTTCTGCCATTAACCTGTTACAGCACACACAAGATGATAAAATAAATCATGCGATTCCAGTCGCAGTCCCTTATTCCTCTTCAGAGTCCCCACTATTGTTTAAACACCATTCATGATGATTGATTCTCTTTGTCAGTAAATTAATTTAGCAACTTCTTGGGTACAAGTGCAAGGCAGTAGATTAACTGCTCTTTTAAAAGGTTTCATTAAGCAGAAAGACAGCCTGGCATTTGTTCAAAACCTTTTCAATTAAATTTTGTAAACTTAAGCAACTGATAAGAAAAATACCAAAAGGTATTTGCTTTAAACTTTGTTCAGAAGATAGGAAGGTGGTAAACATGACATCTCTGTAAATTACTCAAAGCTCCTCCCCCCATAACACACTGGAAAATAATTGCTTAGTAGATTAATCATGGCTACATTAAATAAAACAGGGGTAAATGTGACTCTAGCCCTTTGAAGAGCAGTTAAGTAGAAGTTGGAACCCACATTACTGTAAATTATTAATGAGCTTAAATAGCGGGAGGTTACAAATACGATCATTGCTTTCGGCCAAATGCTCAAATGTCACGATTTTTTAGAATGCCTTTTTCTTTGATAACATCTGGTTAACTGGCAGGGACTTCAGATCCTTTACTCCCACATCTACATGGTCTGACTATTGTGCTTAATTTACAAATCAAGCCCCATGTTGTTTCTCATCGGGTCTCTGTGTGGCTCTGTGCCATGTCCAGAATCTGGGACTACATTTGGCTGTGACTGTCTGAGATCCAGGGCATACACAAGCTGGCATTTGTTACAGCAACGGAAATGTGGCCTTGGTTAAATTCTGCTTCACAAACGGTCTACAGTGTCTGCAGACTGGGAACCCCCAAGAGTGAGACCAGGGCCTATCCAATCTTTGGTCTCCTATAGCCCCTTTGTGGCGATGGTGGCTTCTACATACCAAAATGCTCGTTAACTATTTGGATTGTTAAAAATTAAACGGGAAAATCTTAATTTTACATGACCATGTCCTAGCTAGAACCTTCAAAATGGACAGCCCCAGCTGATCAGTTACACACACACACACCCATATATATGTCAATATATGTGTAGGTACATATATAATATACATGTATATTTATGTAAAATCTGGGATAAAACTAATTTGTGCATTTTATCATTGACATTAAACAACTCCCATGAAAAAAGTACTCCTTAAGCTTAAACTTTTCCAATTAGCTGTTCAAGGGGAGTATTGTGAAGACCATGGAAAGTGAAAGATACAAGCTAAAAGGAAGTTCAAGCCTTATAGGCAAAGTGATTTTGGGGGAAAGCACCCACAAAGAGGATTCATAGAAAACGAGAAAGCAGAGCCCTGGATAGAAGTTAGGAGATCTTAATTTTTATATTCTATCAGTTCAGATGCAGCTGATGTGGGGGAAAAAAAAAACCCACTGAACTGCTATAGCAGATATTGCTATGTATTGGTGTGTGTTTGTGTGTGTGTATGTGTGTGCACACATGCGTGCCGGGAGGAGGAACCCAGGAGTCAAAAGCCTGCTCTGCATACCCAGCAGGGCCTAGAGGCAGCCTGACTTTGGGCTTTTAACCCCTCTGAATCTGTTCTGTCCGCCTGTGAATAAACAGGTGGGATGGGGCCTCTAGGCTTTGTCTTTCAGTGATTGGATACGATTCTGACTGGCCAGCTGAAGGCTCCCTGGGCTTCTGTTTGCCCAAGAGGCAATGTCTGCATATTAGCTGCTCCCTGCCTTATGTGGATTTTGTGAAACTTTATGAGTTTAGGTTTGCAGAATGCTTTGTGTACCTTGGAAAGAAGCTCCTAGCTAATGTTACAAATATATATTTATTTTGAAGTTTGTAGAAAGCTTTGATCTGATATCAAATTAACTCAGTACTGAACTGGCAGAGTCCAGCTCTTCAGCCTGTATTTGCACAAAATTTTTGATGCCTTAAGAAGAGGTTTAGCACAATTTAAATGGTTTACTAGGGCTCTTGTGTTTCTCAGATTGTGATTTAAAAGAAAATAAAACCTGACTGTTTAGGATTGCCCTCTTTTTTCCTTCCTTTGGTATTCCAGGCTGCGAATAGCCATGCAAGACGGACTGTGTGGTTTCCGTGGGCTATGTGGCCCATGGTATTGCCCCATCTGTTTGCACTCATTATCATTTGTATCTCAATTCTTTATTGCCTCCTTAATCTTTGCAATATTTCCTCTGGTTAGAGCATAAGAAATCTTGGCTGCAGATCTGGTATGATTGCTTGGTTCCTGAAGGACAAAAAGACAGGTCTAGAACCCCTGCCTGCACCCTGTACTAGGCTTCTGACTTGTTTCTTTGGTTTGTGAGTATGGCTACACAACTCCAAAGCATCCAGGTGAAAAGCAAATGGTGTCATTACTGTTGCTACTGTGTGAGCCGCCATGCCAAACATGTCACCATATGGAAACATCTAGAAGCAGTGTGAGACCAAACATCTGGATAGAAGTTTAAATTTTTCTTTTTATCCGACAAATATTGTATGCAATGCATTTCTTGTGTCCTCAAACTGGAGTAATGAGGAAAGAATTAGAATGTGGTTGTGTTTTCCCCCACATTCCCAACACAAGCCAAGGTTTTAACCATTCTTACTGTTTCCAGACACCAGCCACTGTTATTCAGTATGTAAAATTTCAAGAAGTACTAGCAGATCTTTTGTTTTTTTTATCCTTCCCCAACGTGCCCAGATTTTCTCCTTTGGGTATCATAAACAAAGTGCAGAAGTCCAGGGACATTTCCATTCTAGAACATAGTCCCTCTTAACTACTCCTTTATGAAATCATGGCAACTTTGCAACCTTTTTTTTTTTGACAATCATAAAGCACCAGCATTGTTCCATGCCCCCATGGCCTTTTAATAAATATTTTTAATATAAAAAATATCAAGTCAAGTTGAATAGTTCATCCAAGATGAAAAACCTCGTATCAGATCATTACTATACCTCCAGCTATATAAAAATGACTCCAAATGTTGTGTCTGGATAAGAGATCACCATGAATTCCTCTGTGATGTACAGCATTTCTTTTAAGTAAGCATGGAAAATCCCTATTTTCAAAGACCATGTCCAGCATGACTGTCATTAATCACAACATCCCTTTGATATTGGGGGAGTAGTTATCATTTTCCCTCTGGAATGCTTGAAAAACTAAGGCATAAAGCACAGTTGGATTATATTCATCTATCTGGAATGTTACGGAGGGACGTGAGGAAGGGCTGGCTCATCACCCAGTACACTTGGTGACAGTATCACGACTCCCTCGTGTCCCTGTTAGAACATCAACGGGCTGCAGAGTGTTTTGTGTCTCTCCACATGACAGCAAGAGCTGACTGCACTGTGCAGTCCTTCTCCAGGCTGTGCCACTCAGATTAAAGTGAGAACAGGACATCACACAAACGTGCCCGGCGTGATAAGACTTAAATGTGCCATCATATTTATGTATGCCTTTCAACATGCTCTTGGCTTTCAAATTTTGAGAAATTCTTTTTAAAATGATTCACTAAATTTTTTCCTTTTAAGCATCTGAATTCTGGGCAAGTTTAGAAGATGAATTTTAATATTAGAATGCCATCATAATTTTTTGTACCTGATTAAAGGCTGGTTCCAAAGTCCAACACTGATAAAAATTAGGAATATTTACCAAATATTATAAGACAAAGACAAGCAACTATCATGCTTGCGCCTTTAAAAAAATGTAGCTACAAACAAAGGAGCTAAAGAATCCTCTCATCTTTTTTCTGTTCTGCTTTTCCCACATCACGATCACCATATCATTTGCTTATTTCCTACTGTACCCGCCCCTTCCCCTTAAGCATTGTTTCACAGAAAATGCTTTTCATGTTGCTAGTTTCTTATACAAATTTTCCTTTTCTACTCTTTGCTTTTAAAAAAATTTTTAAGCTACTATATCTAGTATTCTATTACCATTCTATTCTATTAATATGTAATCTATTCTATCTAGTGTTAAGTTTGTTTATAACAGTCAAAGATTTGCAAGGATGTGCTATTCATATAGCTTCTCTCTCAGGAAGCTCTAGATGCAATGAAATAATCCATATTATAAGGTGAGCTTTTTCTCATTCTTTTATTCATTGAATGAACACTTGAGTGTCCACCCTGTGTCAGGCACACAGCTAAGTTTAGGTCAATAACTTAAGAATGAAAAGAACTTCCTGCTAGGAAATAGTGAAAGCTAAGAGAGGAGGTGCTCTCTGTCTCAGAAAAGAGTGGGATAGAAATGGGTGGCCTTTCAGGCTGATTCTGATTGCCAGGGTGGCCTCAGGTCTTCCTCCTTTCTCCCCTATTTTGGCAGACTCCAGGTGCAGTCCTTAAACCAGATTTTCATATCATCGCTTTCTCCCTAGGATTTCTCTCTGAGAATCCACAGAGGAATGAAATTAGCAGTCAGCACTGGCTCATCCAATCTTATCTCGAAAGTAAGAAACCCTCCCTTGTGATCTTGGCATTGTCTCTGTGAGAGCAATCACACCTGTCAGCTGGAAATCTCCTTTCAGTGGGACTGAGCAGGCCATTTTAAATAGTATATTTTCTGAAATGTCTTGCTGAGGCATTGTGGTTCTGCTATTTAGAAAGAAACTAACACCTATAGGCATTAGTGCCACTAGTTTCTTCCGCCCCAGAGTGAGGTATTTTCTTCATTTAGAATCAGGTAGAGGACCAGAGACTTAAGATTGGATTTCCCCTCTTTTCCTCCTAATTTCTTTTGATGTCTAGAAAAGCAGTGTAACAAAGAAAAAAGGATTCACTTAGACATAGCTTGTCTCAAAGAAGAGCGGGCAACATGTTATGTGGTCACTTTCTGGGCAAAATATTTCCCATTCTCTTCTCCTTTGTACCGATGTTTTCGTATCCAGCGAGCTAAACAGCTCTTTCCTACCTACCTGTTGTGTGGGTATAAATACCCAACGTTTGCGTTTGTGGTTGAGATTCTCTGGGTTAGGGTTAGGGAATATGTAATCATGCGTTTTATTTTCAAAGTACTTTCACACCGTCCCATTTGATTCTGTAACAATTGTGTGAAACAGAGGTAGGATAGGGTAAATTTTATTTATCCATAATATAGCTGTATATATGTGTGTGTATATATATCATGTCTATCTTATAATGGCAAAATGTTATGATATTATCTATTGATATCATAATATGGATACATGATATAGATAAGTAAAATGAGGTTTAGAGGTGTTATGATTTTCCCATAAGGTTTATTATTAGTAAAATGTCGAGCTTGATCTAGAACCCATATTTTTTGAATTCTAGTTCGGTGCTGTGTCTCCTTTGGTGTGCAGAATGAGGAGCACAAACGTGAGCAGAATCTTCATGTCTTTTGATGAAGATCTGTGTCTGAGAATAGGTGTGACTCTGTGTGTATGTGTGAACATGTGCGTTATGCCTGCTGTAGGGGCAGTTGAATGAGATACGGCCTGTGAACTAGCTTCCAGTTTGCAATGGTCCAAGGCAGCAGGGGCCCAAGGCAGCACCACCATGAAGTGGTGGCAGCAGACAGGGATGCAGGCAGCTACCGATTCTCCAGTTCAGTCGAAGAAAAGGCAGGAGCTGGAGTTGACTCTGGCAACAGACCGAGACCCTATGCAAGTGACCTGAAACAAGTCTGAAACTTGTTTTCCTGCCCATTACTTCAACCCTAATCTTGTTTTCTCCTCTAGTGCTCTACTGCTTTTTCTTCTCACTCCTCTCACTGACGTAACCCGCCTCCAGCCTCCCCAAGCTCCTGCTGGCCAGAACTCCTGCTCCAGGTGCTCTGGAGCTGGGCCATCCAGGCTCCCACAGCCTGGGATATGGTAAGATGGGAGCATAACAGCATTGGTTCCAGAAGACCATGTATTCACAGTCCCAAACACCTGTCTTGCAATTGAAGTGGAATCAGAATCTAACCCATAAGTTGGATACAGTAGGTATTTGATGCACTGATTCTGTTTTCTTCATTTCTATTTCTTGGGAGTAGCCAGAGACAATATGTAGTGGCTGTTTCTTACCCTGAAGAATTACCCAGGTAAATAATGTTGGTTTGTTACAATAATAATTTAACCATTCTTGGTGCAGAAAAAAGGACATTCATGGTATGCTCCATGTTTTGGTCTCTTTCCTTGACTTGAAGTAATTTTTTTTAAATGGCAAGGGAAGTCACATTAGGAATAGTTATCTACATTTATCTGATAAACTAAAATCTGTTTACTAACAGAAAGAAGGAATCAGGTTCAGTTTATAGTGGTCTGAAGGTCTTGTACAGGTCTTGTAACCTGTATTTTAGTACTTACTCCACATTGTCTTGACCAAAGAACTGTCATAAATCATGGCTTGCTTTCCAGATACATTTGGCCCACAATGTGAGAGGGAGAAAAAAAAAACACCTAACAAGGTAATGCAGAGAATATTTTGCAAAGATCAAGTACACTAGCCTAATCAGAAATATCATCACATTCCTCGTAAAAATAATATAAATCAATAGTCAGGAGGTAGCAATTAGCTTCTGATGTTGGCACTTTTCTGTGTGCCCAAACTGTACTTTAAAAATATTGAGAATGCGAAGAAAGAATCCATCTTTCAACGGCCAGCCCATCTCTTTCAATATAGATATTTATGATTTGGAAAACTTTCAATATTTAAGCCAATTCTTACTTATCCCCATCCCCATATTAGGAAGCCATCAATCCTAACTCAGTGGATAAAGGCAAAGTATAAGATTATTAAGATAATATTAGTAAAACAAGAATCAGTTGACATCCAGGCAATTTGGAATTGTGCTATCAGCAATTTCCTAATTTCCCAGGGAAGAATTTATTTATTTATTTATTTTATTATTATTTTTTTTGTGTGAAGAAGATTACCCCTGAGCTAACATCCATTGCCAATCCTCTTCTTTTTTGCTGAGGAAGATTGGCCCTGGGCTAACATCCGTGCCCATCCTTCTCCACTTTATATGGGATGCCACCACGGCATGGCTTGAGAAGCGGTGCGTTGGTCTGCGCCCAGGATCCGAACTTGTGAACCCCGGGCCACCGAATCGGAGTGTGCAAACTTAACCGCTACGCCATGGGCTGGCCCTGGAAGAATTTATTTTTAATCATAGATATACTGAGAAAAGCCTTTTCTCAAATAGTTGGCTTTTAGTATGAATGATCTACTGATTTGATGGTTAGATCTAACTCATGCTCTAAGATAAGGAACTCCACTGCGTGTGGCAATGGAAACATGAGGGTGAACAGAGACCCGCCCTCATGGACAGGTCATCTACACGACACGGAGCACTGGGCAGCTGTCACCTACTCTCTGACACTTACTTACCCTAAGCTTTCGACCAAAGACGTTGACTTTTCCTTGGGCTTGCTCTTTTCGGAATCTCCATTCCACCAAATTTTGACCGTTTTCACCAGGAAGAGTCATGTTTCTTTTGGCAACTGTTGGATTAGCTGTGCCAGCCAGAACGTGTGGCTCTGTCTGGTAGTGTGAATCCAGACCACTGGCATAGATAATTCTAAGGGAGCCGTCGTAACCAATCTGGTAGCTGTTTCTCAACTGATCTAAAAAACAAGAAGCAGAAAACACGAACTATTGATATGGATTAAATACTTGGTTGGTTGTGCAGTTAGAAGTGATATAAATTTCTAAAATGTTGAGTGAACTCCATTTATAAGAAAATAAAAACTACTTGATGTCCTTTTAGAAAATAACAAAACAACTTTGATTTCTGGCATTTCATGCTGTAATAGGTTTGGCTGAATATTAAAGGCAAATTTTAGGGGAATTTAGAGGCCTTCTCCACTTTAATAGATTTCTTTTTCTCATTTGTCTGAGGAAATAAATAAGGGCCCAACCTCCATGGAATGTGCTGTAAATGTTTTGCAAAGAGCCAAGTCTGTGCTCTTTTAGGAGGCTGGTGTGTCCCCTCCAAGGTCCCAGGAGATTCCCCTCCCCTACACGCATCCCTATATCCTCTATCAAAGATCTTTGGAAAAGATTTAATATCTGTACCTTGTGCACCAAAAATATAAGGTGATATTCCCCCTGAAACTGACTTTTAAAAAAGGGAGTCATCTTATATTTTGTACAAAAAACCCTCTCATATTGTGTAGGCTACTGCCTCAATTTAAAATTTTTGAATAATATAGGACCATTTAGGGAAGAAATGAATTCAAGCAATACCAATTTTAGATGATTGTAGACATTACCTGACAGAACTGGTAAAAAAAAAAAAAAAAGAGTCAAAGAAGTTTAATTCAGATTTAGCAATTATTCTTAGAGCTACGACCTCACAATTGCAATCGTCATTATAAATAGGCTTTTTCAAGATTACGTCAAAAAGGAATATGGCAGGAGGTTCCATTATGCAGATATTGGCTATATATGCCTATAGACTGAAGGAAAAAAACAAAAATCCAGATATTACGTAAATGAGTTCTTGGTATAAAATTTCCAGTGATCACATCATATGCAGATTCAAACACTGCATCACGCACGGATTCGGAAAGTGCTCTGCTTCAAATGACTGTACTTCCATGACAGTGAGGGTGACTTGCTTTGGAGAACTGTGGATGACTCAGAAAGGGTCTGATGATGTATGTGAAGAGTTGGAATTAAATTGCTTTATTAACTGGGAGTGAAAAAAGACACTATTTCTAGGTTAACATATTGTTTTTTATATTCTGAGATTTTTAAATATGTATACATTACTAAAGAAACATGACATGTAGACATTAGACTATTTCATCAATATCTCTAGAGGTTTATATTTTCCCCTTCCCTTTTCTGGTTCGTCTTAGAAAATGGAAGTTGCCACATTCTATTTTGGGGGCTAGTGGTATTTTAAAATGATCCATTTAAGACTGTGCTTTTGTGTTTACCTTGAACCATGGTGTAGAAGGAGTCGATGGAGGACAAATTTGAAGTGATGCTGACATCTTCTTCTCGGCTGGAAGACTCAATGTCCACCGTGATAGCCTTGTCCATGTCTCCATGAAGGTTTGTGACCACTCCAGTTGGAAATGTAACATTTGTCAGACGACCTTCACTGTCATAGCTAAATAAAAGAGGCATTAACTCGGTGTTAAGTAGAAACCTGCAGGTCCTTCTTACATATAAATATAATGGGCAGCAATATTAGCTGCACAGATCTGGAAGAATATTTGTCTTTGCGCAAGAGCTATGGAGAGTGAGGGCTTCAAACATGCTTTGAAGTAATCAAAAGCCTGTTTAACATAGAAAAACCTCACCAGTGAGAGCCAGAGTAAACAGACCAGCTCTCCATCTCAGCATATTATTCTTTGAAGTGTGACCAAAATGCTCCTGCACATCTAATTTGCTGTTTCAAAGGGAACATGTTTGCTGATATTAAATTCCTTAGTATTCCTCCATATTTTCTACAAAGTAGATTTAATTCGCTGTTATATCAGTTTTTAAAGTTTTACTAACTTATGCCTTCTATGGCAGTGCAGTGTGAATATCTATCTATATATATATAACTTTGTAAAACAGGATGTATACATACACGTATGTATTTGCATATGTAAAAATATTCTTTTAGTGTCTTGAGACATCTTCAACAAATTAATAAAATAAAGCCTTTAAAAGACTTTCTTATTTCTCAGTGATTGACATACTTTATGATGGTAAATTGGGACTTAAATGTTGGCAGTGGTGGTGATACTCTCTCTTCTCTATACGGACGTTGTAGGAATGGGTGATGTCTTGAATGATGATTTATTATGTTTGCTGAAGTGAGATGTAATATTTCCTGACATTTAATAATTATTTGCTTTTTCATTATATACTTACTCTTTTTTAGCATACACATATAAGAGGAACTTATAATTTAAATGTTAGGATATATTTTAAAAAGCTGTCCTATAATCATAAATATGCACTATAGATACAAAATTTTATTAAGGAATGATTTTCTAGCAGGGGGCCGCCCTGTGGCAGTGGTTAAGTCCGGCACACGCTGCTTCCGCAGCCTGGGTTCAGATCTTGGGCGCGGACCTACACCACTGGTCAGCCATGCTTTGGCGGCGACCCACATACAAAATAGAGGAAGACTGGCACAGATGTTAGCTCAGGGCTAATCTTCCTCAAGCAAAAAAAAGAGGAAGGTCGGCAACAGATGTTAGCTCAGAGCGAATCTTCCTCACCAAAAAAAAAAAAGAATGATTTTTTTTTGTGACTTTTCTATTTGTGGCAGCACCAGAGAAAATTTCAAAAATGACAATGTGTCTTGAAGAAAAAAAAAGCAAGTTCTGGATGAAAAACTAGGGACTTCCTTGGACCAAAAATATAGTTAAGATTGGATTTCAGATTGATATTAAGGTTGCTTCATTAATAAAAGATCTAAGATACTTAAAATAAGTTCAGATGCAGGACAAGTAGAGAAAGAATCTTGTGAGTGACGGACAGAAGTTACCAGGGGAGGAAAAAAGTGTAGAGGATCATATTAATAGGTGTAAATATGGGGCAACAAGGAAAAAGAATAGAAAAAAGTACTTAAGTGATATTTTGGAATAAAAAGATAGAGGGCTTTTAGACAGTAAAAATTAGCTTTGAAAAACGTGGTTAGTAATTAGGAGAAGATTCTAGGTAATAAAGGTAGAGAAGATTCAGCAAGGGCAATGTCATGGTAGAGACAGGAAGGAGGAAGGAGAGACACCGATGTCTGTACAGGGCTCAGTGATGAGGTGATCCCATTAATTCAGTGGGGTCAAAATCAGTCAGATCACGGTTTGACCGACTTGATCTGGCAATTTGCCTTGCTGCTCAGCCAGCGGCAGGAACGGGCACTCAGGAGGGAGAAGTAAGCGATGGAGAAGTAAGCGATGGAGAACCGAAGAGAAAGAAAATGCACCATTAAGGGTCATCATTGTTTAGACCCATAAAAGGCAGAGCTGAAATAAAAAAGCTGAGTCCTTTCCCTCCCTGCCGACCTAAATGCCCCTAGCAGATTAAGGCATCAATGAAAGAAACCCAACACGGTTTATTGCTGTCGTTGCCTTTTTTTTTTTTTTTTTTTTCGTCTTTTTTGTGTGAGGAAGACCAGCCCTGATTAGCTAACATCTGCCAATCCTGCTCTTTTTGCTGAGGAAGACTGGCCCTGGGCTAACATCCATGCCCATCTTCCTCCACTTTATATGGGACGCCGCCACAGCGTGGCTTGACAAGCGGTGCATTGGTGCGTGCCCAGGATCCGAACCTGTGAACCTCAGGCTGAACCCCAGGCCGCCGCAGTGGAGCACACGCACTTAACCGCTACACCACCAGGCCGGCCCCTGTCGTTGCTTTTTTGAAGAAATTATTGCTCTTGAAGAAACAAACATGCATAGCTTTATTTATACTGCACAGCAGAGTTACAAAATTATTGACAAAATCAGCCTAAAGTTCCATCTTCAACTGGACACCATTCTGCCTCACTTGATGTTTCTCATAGTGAAGAACATGTTATTGGTGTTTTTAAGAAATTAACATCCTTTTGACTGTTCTTATATAAAAGATAGTTCAGTATTGCAGTACATGCCCTCTGTATTTTACAGAAGGAAAAATGAAAATACGACGAGGTTAGGCGACTTGATTGGGATCTCCTTGCATCTCATGACTGGGCGGTAACTGGACTTTCATGCGCTGGACCCCAGGTCCACTAGACTTCTGTAAATCACCGCGCCTGATGTAAAGTGGAGATCTGCAGCTTTATACAGAGGATGCCACCTGCCAGCCCTCTGCTGATTCACTCCTGCTGTCACTCACCTGCCCCTTTTCGACCCTTTTGCTGGTTTATGTTTTCTAGCTCCAATCAGTCTAAAGCAGGAACGTCACCTTTCTCCTGCAGCATGCATTTCTCCAACCTCTGCCTCTGCTCTTTCCTTGGCTTACTGCACGTTCCCTGTCCTGCTGGGCAGGCATTTCGTATCAGAGGATGCTGCGCACGCTGTGATAGAGCACGGGATGCTACGCATTCAGACGCTAACCTATTAGCCTTTGCTTCTTTGGGAAATAAAAATACAAGTAACCTTTGTAGGTAGTGCCGTTAGAATGACATAGGGTTAAGCTGGGATCTTAGTGGCCTTGCTTCACAGTTCAGCCCTGCAAGTTCTGACTTTGCGCCTTCCGAGGAGTGGCTGAATCCAAGGGAAGGCAGAGAGGGCTGAAGAGCTTGCACGAGGTAGGCCAGGAAGGCTGCTACGGTGTAAGGGCCCTCCGAGCTTCTGCCTAACCAGTCACCCAACAGTTTCTGAATAAGCTTTATGGGCAAGTCACAGTGTGAGGGTTCTGTGGATACAAAGCGGATAAGAAGTCTGGCTGGGGAGAGAAGTCATTCACATGAAAACTTAACTATTGAGAATGAGTGCCACGTGAGTGGTACAGATCACCAGAGCGCCTGGAGTCTGAGAGAGGAGACACTGTCGTGCTGGTGCAGCGAGGGAAGGGCCACATCAAGGTGGGGACCTAAGCCGGGCTTTGCAATAGACGTGGGATTGAGACAGGCTGATAAGGCAAGGGACAGCATTCCAGCCTGCAAAACAGCAAGGGTGAGGTGTGGAGGAGTGGAGACGGAAGGGCTGTGAGGGGGTCAGGGGGGCAGAAGTGCTGACTGAAGCTAGGCATCCATCAGGGCCCATCATACGATAGAGGGAGGCCCTGGGTGGGTTTTCTCACTGGGGACTGTGGGGAGCTGGAGAAGGCTGTAGAGGAAAGCAAGGCTTTAATCAGCTGATGTGATGGCAGCACAGAGGGAGCCCAGGGGCGGGGTGACAGGTCAAGCGGGGAGTGCTTCCCAGACTTCCTGATTTTACAAACCAGGACCAAAGAAATCAGGGACCAACGGAGGGCTTTTATCTATCTATCTATCTATCTATCTATCTATCTATCTATCTATCTATTTATTTTTTGCGAGGAAGATTAACCCTGAGCTAATACCTCTTGCCAATCCTCCTCTTTTTTGTTGAGGAAGACCGGCCCTGGGCTAACATCGGTGCTCATCTTCCTCTACTTTATATGGGACGTCTGCCACAGTGTGGCTTGATGAGTGGTGTGTAGGTCCGTGCCCGGGATCTGAACCTGCGAACCCTGGGCCCACCGAAGTGGAGCTTGAGAACTTAACCACTATGCCACTACGCCACCAGGCTGGCCCAACAACAGAGGATTGTTAAATAAAAAACTATCCCCAATTACCTCCATTGTTTCATAAAGAAAGGCCATTTAAACCTACCAAAGGTAGAAAGGACCTAACTCAGGGTGAGAGACAGTTCTTTAAAAGGAATAAGTAAAGCTTTATGAAAAAATTCTCCACACGCCATTATCTATTTTTCTCATTTCACTGTGGATCTGTGAAAACTTCTTCACAGATTAGCATCTCCGACAACAGAAATGAAAACAAGATGGATGACAGACATTAAAATTACCTGGGGACTCTTGATAAGGGAGAGAGAGAAAATAAGTCGTCAAAGATGACTTTCAGGGACTTCAGAAACGGCAGGAGGACCCTTCTTCACCTCGGCAAAAGTGGAACAGCAACGCTCCAGCAAATGGCCAACTGTCCCCTGAAGCCCTCTGCCCAGTTACTCAGAGAGGCCTTCCCATCCGATATACGCCTCTGGACGCATTCTCTCCTTGTGTGCAACTTTGTGGCTCTATTTAATGTTGCTTGGCTTTGGTGGTGAACCAGCCCTGCCCGGCGTGTATATCTGAGACATAGTTTTCTGTTATTAGCTTTTTGAATTTACAATGCAATCGGCTCTAGGGAATTTGAATAGAACATCAACTTCATGCTCTCCATTCCACTCATCCGGTCTTAGCCTCACAGCTTCAAATTCACAACACAGCACATTCTTTTTGCTCCCGATTGACCCCTCTTCACAAAGGCCTCTCGCTGGAAAAGACAAGCTCCCTCAGGCTCTTAACGACCTTCTGCTCTTTCACTGATGAGATGCCTTTATTTGATGTTTATCTATTTGTTCGTCTTTAATTTTGATTGCATTTTTGCCTAGACTTGCTGTTTTAGCCTTTGTGGTATATTTTTAAATCTCTTTCCAAGTTTCC